TTTATTCTATTGAAAGTCCTTTCTAATACAAAAATACAACTCAACCTGCTAAATTCAAATATATATGCACCTTATACTCGTATATATTAGGTACATTATAAAGAGTTCACCAAAAATCAAGTTATTTTCGTAGGAGGTGTTTACATTGAGAAATCTATTCCTTTAATGTGGAAATATTTAAATGTTGTGGTGATATTAAACTAAACATCATTGACCAAATTTTGATACTCTACAAAAAGGGTTATAAACAGATATCAATTAACTTTACTGACCGCAATCCTTTTTTTAATTATGTATGTAGTATTACCCATGCAGGAGACTTTTCCTTTAAAGTTATCATGACCATAAAGACACCCAGATTAGATGAACAAAAACGAATTATTGTTCAGTCCTTAAAAAGGATGCTTTAGAGCCAGGGACATTCATGATGTAATTTGTTTTGAATTAAAATAATAATTAATAATTGCTTCTTTGTTTTCTTGCTTTTTCGTTTGTTTGCTATTTTGTTTTGTTTATTTTTTTTCTGTATTTTAGTAGAGTGACTTTTACTTACACTTTCAAGTCACTTACTTCCATTTTGATTATTAATTGATAGATTTTTCTCGCCAAAGTGTAAATTTTAATGTTTTTGGAGGAACTAATATTAAGTAGTTAGAAACTGTGCAGAAATTTGCACATTGCGTGCTACCAGAGCTACAAGTTAGTCATTATTTTTTCTTATGGTCTGAAATGTCTCATTAAGCATAGAATGACATGTTTGTTTTAGATGATGATCAATGTATTCGGGCTTAATATGAATTAAAATCTTCATTTACATTTATAGATGTCAGGATTTTATTGCCGTCAACTATATAGCCAAATGAAGTTTTAAATAGATCGTATATGTCTGCAGTTTAAATAGAAACTTACTATAATAAAAAGTCATGGAATTATATAATAGTATAATAATAATGAAATTAGGTAAATTAACATAGCCAAAAAGTGATTAATCTTTGATTTGACAATTGCATTTTTTAAACATTAGGTCTAGGAAACGTTTCTGTTAAGTTTATCCGATATCACGAAATATTTTACAGATCCTAGAAGAGTAAGTCAGGCTTTATTTACTGATATATAATATGTGTTATCATCCTGTTTTTTATTTATTTATTTTTTTTAATAAAAGTCAAAGAAAGATTGAAGGGCCCTCCAAATCTGTGTATGAAACCTTACAAATATTTTGTCAGCAATGTGCAGTATATTAAATACAAAAGTTTACAGACCCAGGGGAAGAATTTTTTTTCGGGGGGGGGGGGGTGGCTGGTGGCATTATTAAAACAAAATCCACTTTGAATATAAGAAATGTCATAAGAAGTTAAAGCAACCATTGACAAGCAAAGAAATGTCTTCAGAAGTCATTATTTAGGGCACACAACCATAAATAATCATTGTTTTTTTTTTTTTTTTTAAATATCTGGTAATTAGTCCCCTATCGGTGAAACTGGAGGGGACTATAGGTTTCCTCCGCGTCTTCCGTCCGTCTGTCTGTCTAGCTGTTACTCTTTCTGTCTGCCAGTCAGTCCCACTTGGTTTCCGCACTTTTCTCCTAAAAGCTTGCAAATATTTAGCTGATTTTTTGGTATGTGAGTGTATCTTGATGCGTTACAGATCACGTTAGCATTTCGTTCCAGTTCATTGATTTTTGACGGAATTATGCCATTTTCAATTTTTAACGGGAATCAGATTACACTTGCCTGTAGGGGACTAGCATTGCTGATGCAGTACTCTGAGAATGTTTCTTAAATTTGCAAAGTCGTTGGGGACATCACTCAGCCTAGTTAATACCATTATAATGATATTATTTATTTTACTACTAAATGTAACTGCATCAGGAGAATTTGATCCAGTGTATGATCAAACTTTTGTCTCATTTTACAAGGAAAGAAAAAAGAGCTAAGACACGGAATCCCTGATATTTATTAAAAGTACATTTTAATCAATGTTGAAACAGTTTGTGCATCTTTAAAAAATCCACGATGTTTGATTAGTTAACTGCATTGACAAATTATATGACATCTTTTCTGCGATTGGCAAATTTAAAAAGCTGAATGAGAATTTGATCAACATAAGTTGACAAGTAGGTATATTTCTTGTCAGCTGCAGGTATTACAGTTAATTAATTGAGAAGGCAACTAATTATGATAAATTGTCCAGCTGCCCCAATATTGATATGCAATGAAAACAAGGTTGACAACTGCATATATTAAAAGGCTGGCTGACTGCTAGTAAGATTCATTCATGTAGCAGGAAAAGAGGAATAAAGAGTCCCTTTACAGTTTATTAAGACAGTATGAATTCAGTGGGGAGGGGTGAGGCCAGGGAGTTCGGCCCCCTTCAAAATTTTCAGATTCTTAATATATATAGGACAATTAACAAAAAATGACCCTGGACACCCTAAGAACACTTTTGCTTTTAACAATGAATACGGAACCCCCTTCCTGACAAAATTTACTAGAACCGCCCCTGTTGAGAATACAGAGACATTTAATTATTCCAAGAAAATATATTTTGAATTTACGACCCATAATTCTAAAGAAGTGACCAAAGAAAACCAAATCCTTTTTAATTCAATTGCAAACTATATTGAATTTAAAAAAAAAAACTTTCCAAGGCCCTTAGATCATGAGACAGTTTCAGACTCCAATCAGTTGTTCATTATCTATATTTTCTTAATAGAAAATACATGTACACATCAGATTTAAAATGTTATTGAAAATTGTTTCTATTTTATATCGTTGATTCCTTTTTTTTCAGGTTTAATGTTAATTTTATTTTATAAATGACTGAAATTTTGATATAAATGTTAGACTGATCCATTATTCTCGGGCTCACGTTATTATGCCGAGTAATAACCTGTAGCGTTGGGGTTGTAAAGTCAATTCGTCTCTTGTCAGAAACAACATTAATTTTGTGCAAACTGTAAATAACCTAGGCGATAAAAAGTTTTACAAACTGCATCATGAAATCTACTAAATTCCAAAGAGGCTAGACATGTGAATAAATAAATGCCACATTTTACGTATGTGGATGACGATAATATATATTTTTATGTAAGTATTAAAGCAATGAAACAAGAGGGAAATATTAATAATTAATTCTAAATTTTAGGATGAAAATTGATGCTTTATTGACTTTTTTAAAAACTAATATGCCCTCATCTGTTTATATACATAGAAAAAGGAGACCCAATAGCTCAATGATTTTCTGAGTCACTTTGGCCTTGATTTATTAACAATCCCTTCGCTTTATTCTGATGACAATATTTGATCTCATATTGTTGAATCACCCGAGCAACAGGGGTATGGTTTAACCAAAGTCGTAGATTCTTCAGTATTATTGTAACTAGCATGGCATAATGCCATTGCTCTACTGGAGACGGTTTTTAATAGATTTTTTTCTGTTTGTATGCATAAGCTAGAACTTGATCCTCAAGTTTAGTCCCATCCTATGCCTAGGTTCACAAATAAAACAAATAATTGAATCCCAACAATCTAGGAATGTTTGAATATAGATATAATTAAATATATCCTGCTACTTTCGAAAAGAATTTTTGTTTGAAATTTACTGTATATCCAAATGTTAAGCTTGCATGCAGTATCAATGATTAATTATCACCAATTCCCTTTTCCTTGGGGCAAGAGTTTGAATAAACCTAAACCTAACCTATGTATGCTTTCATATAAATATAAATCATTATGGCTCTGCAATTCTTGCGAACATTTTAAAAATAAATATTTCCATTCATTACCCTGTAGACTTTGATCCTTAATTGTGACTTGATCCTATACTTGGGACAAGAATTTAAAAAGAATGAATCTGCAACACCTGCTTCGTAAGAGGGCTTGAGGTAGGTGTGACCATTTGAAAGGGATCACCCAATCTGAAAAAAAATAGTTTACAAAAGCAAAATCTTTAATATGGAATACCAACAAATACCAACAAACAATAAAAAAAATATTTGAATACTATCGAAATTAAGAGGTTTAGCACAATTAATATCTTTACTAAATTAAGTATTCAAAAAATCTACACATTTATAAAGATATTTTTATACATTTCAAATTTAAATACATTTGAACATTAAATGGATATTTGTTCACTGAAATAATTTTTCTTCCATATATATCGGTGCCTTCCCTTCCCTGTTGTTAACAAAAAGAATCGCATCATTCTTTATGCATATATCCAAGCAGGTTGAGGAATAGAAATTCCTCCATTCTTTTGAGAAAGTTACACCAAAAAAAATTACATATACATATACATTAATAACATTTTCTAAGATAGATAGGGTAAAGAAGGAAATACATATTTTCAGAAGAAGGTATGAAAACTTTGCTGTTAAGAAATAGGTATGGATATGGCATGGACCTTCTACGTACTCTCTTCCTTTATAATGGACATTACATCAACATCTTTAAAATAATTATGCCTTTGTATTAATGGGTACAAAAGAAATATCTATATTAGACAGTTTTCATTTCCATACATACAAACAAACACACAAATATGTACACACTAAACCAGAACTATTGACTTTCAGATATCTGTTATGGTGTGTCATTTTTTTTAAATTGACAACCATCTTGAATAATGGAGATTCCTCTTTGACAATCCCGTCAAATTCTTAAGACTTCCACTTTAACAGCATACCATATGTTGATGACTTTTAAATCTGTTTTGGGTTGTCATATTTTGTCATCCCGTGTCCATGTGGAAATATAAGGAATCATTCCTCTCCAACTGATTTCAAATTCTATATGACTTGCATTGTTACCGCACACAATTTCATATGAGGAAATGTAAAGCAAAGCTAACATAAAGGGAGTGGTGCGTATGAAATTTACATACGGTAATAATTGACATAAACGTTCCAAAGTTAAACCTCAATTAACATTAGCATTATTGTTCATTTAATTCAGAATAAGCCATATATAAATAAGGTGTCTAGATTACACCTTGATTCTAATTAATTAAGCACTCGTGCAGAATATTTCGCGTTTATTTTGTTTGGATTGTTACCTTACACCATGTGGAAAGCTAGTCTTGGATTTGTAGCAATTTTATTGATTTCACCTGCTTTATCGGAGTGTAAGTATATATAAAACATATTTTTAATATATATAAAAACATATGTTATGTAAAATGCATGTATAAAAAAAAAATGTGAGGCTCATAAAGGACCCTGTCAAATACAGAAATCAGAAGTAAGAAGTAATTGTTGCTTCAAATTAAAATGACTAAAATCACTTTAATAAATAATTATTTAACAAACTCGTTATTATCTGTATCCAGGAATATATCTGCAGTGAGTTTATTGGTTCTTCATATGTTTTGAAGTGAATATTCCCTGCTTTGATATAATTATTTACGTTTTAAAATCTTCATCAACAAATGGCTACATTTTCTCTTACGTGCTTAAGCATGCATAATGAATAAATCAAAGGAGTTTTTATTTTGTTAATGTTTATTGCTATACGTGAATACTTGTGTTTATAATAAGATTTTTACATAACGTCTGGGAATAAAATTAATTTTTCTATGTTTGGATATATACGAATAATGAAAATTCTCACTTTGTGACATCCGTCCTAATGTTCCATTTTCTACCAAGAATATTTTACCAAATGTTAAAGTCAAGAAAGTAAAATCCAATAATTACTTTTTCCATTGTAAAAAACAAACAAACTGACAACTAAACCCCTTTTTCCCAAACAGAACACAACAACTGACGTTTACGTAACTTCAAATAAACTATTTGCATAAAAGAAAATTGATGGAAAGATATCAGCGTCATATTAATGTCATACTTTTTTATCTGTTCATTGTAATTATATACCTCATATATCTGAGTATATTAATTCTATTTTTCTGATCATTTTAATTCTATACCTTATTTACCTGATCACATTGATTCTACACATTATTTATATGATCAGAATAATTCTATATCTGATTTATCTAATCATGTTAATTGTATAACTTATTTATCAGATCATATTAATACTTGATCTATTCTGTACCTTTCTAATCACTTCATACTGATTTTCCCGTTATTTCCCGATTATGACAAGGAGAACACGGCGGGTGTGACCGGTCGGCAAGGGATGCTCACTCCTCCATGGCACCTGATCCCACCTCTGATGTTTTTCGATGTCCGTCGTTGCTCTGCTCCCGATTTGTATTGTATTAATGGATTTTGAGCTCGAATACTGTTCTTTATCTCCATATTTCATTCATAATGATTTTCAACAAGCTTTATCTTTTAATATTTTTTTATTTTTCTTTTTATCTGTTCTTATTAATTCCGTACCTTATCAAATGATATAAATTCTTAACCCGTTTTTATTTGTTCATATTAATTTTGTACCTTTTTATCTTTTCCTATTCTCAATATTTTGTAGCTGTTCACATTAATTTTGGAATCTTGTGAGCTATTTTTGTAAATCTGAACTACAATTTCGTTTTTATGTACCCATAAAATTACATTTAACAATGATTCTCCTTTTAATATATCTCGTCTTCCATATTTGTCAAACAAGGCATGTTTTGTATTTTTATTTATAAATATTAGGGGGTAATTTTTATTTCGGATATTCATAGAAAAATAGTTTTCACTAATTTTAAATAACATATGAATAAGACATACTTTATAAATTCTTTAAAGACTTTTAACATAACGTGGAATCAAGATATTTCGAGTCGGAGGTTTAAATTTTGGGCAATTTTGTAGGACCCCCCTCCCCACGAAAGTACTGCCTAAAAGAATGTTTAAAGAAATTAATTTAAAAAAACCCAATAAATAAGCTAATGCAATTTCAACTTCTCAGTCTTGGGAATGTCAGTCCTCTTTCAGCAATGGAACTGCTACATATATCATTCCTACAATAATAAGAAAAAAATGTTCCCAAAATATTCAGAACACCAGGAAAAAAACTATTTAATATCCTGACATGAATTTCTCTTACTTTCCTACGATTGTTCATATCCTACTTTTCTTAGATTGTAATACCTGGGACAGGTGTAAAATATTAGTGTTGATTTTGCTTATTATTCTTTTCAGGTGGAGAATACCTGGGACAGGCGTTTAATATTAGCTTTTATTTTGCTTGACTATTATTTTCATTTTGTGAATACCGATGGCGTGTGTATGATATTAGTGTGGATTTTGCCTGACCATTCTTAACAGATTGTGAATACCTGGGACATGTGTATAACATTGGTGTTTATTTGCATAACTCATTTTTACAGATTGTGAATACCTTGGGCAGGTGTATAATATTGGTGTTGATTTTGCCAGTGGAGATGGTTGCAACACCTGCAAATGCATGCCAAGTAGAATAGTCGAGTGCACACAGTATCCCTGCTATCCAGGTACTTCTTTGAGATATATGACCCCCTCGAGCATTTCTTATCACTTCTAAAACATTTAAAAGATGTCAAAAGTGTTTGTCGCATAACGATTGAATCTCTAAGATGTTTTGAAAGTAATATACGAAGCTATCTTTCTTCGCCACAAAATGAAGTTGAATATTGAAATAGGTTCTTGCTATAAGTGTTTTCCTTCATCATGACGCCAGTTGGTGCTACAGTTCAATGTTACAAAATTCCACTTACCATAATATATATGCAGTTGATTACAGACGATTACAGACTTCTTCTTTTTTTCAAAAATGGTCTTATGACGGCAATTAAACTTTATGATAAGGATTCATATTGTTTAGATGCTGGGTTGAGAAAAGTCCAAATGTGCGGTACAGTATCAATACGTTTTTGTTTTGATTTCATGGTATGTTACATCCTTGCAAATTTCGTTTCAATCAATCTCCATACATTTTCTTTGAGGTTTAGCTTTGGCGATTGGGATGGCTAGTCCAAATCTTCGGTGTAGCATCAAGTTTTTGTTTTGTTTTGATGTTATGCTGATTCCTTGCAAGTTTCATTTTAATCAATCTCCATAAATTTTCTATGAGATTTAGGTATAGTGACTGGGATGGCTGTTCTATGTTGGCAATATTGTTTTGTACTTCAATCCAGACTTTATCCCTAGCCGACATGTGAAGTGGTTGCTATGAAGTGTTTCGCAACAACTTGCCATAGGTTATTGATTAAAAGCGTAATGTACTTATCTGTTTTTAAATTCCCATCTATTGGTGCAAGTAAACCCAATGAACATAAGACAATCTTATGTTCATTTGTCATCTGACTTTCTCCAACGTACAATTTATGAGCTGTCTCTAATATGACGTGTTTTGGTAAGAAAATATAACTGCTAACTACTTGTGCTCGAAAGACCTGTGTTTTTATGCTCAAAGTGCTTCACACTGTTCACTTTCGAGATGATAAGTATCTTGACGATTATTTTTCAAAAAGATTGGAACCTGCGCTTAACTAATCGCTTTGACAATGGCTGTGGTATAGATCTATTTAATTCTGAAGTTAAATTGCTGCTCAATACTCGATTTGACTGATCAATCGTCCGAAACTGCGAGGTTTATTTGTTGCATTTCATCGGGGAGGAAACGTCCTCAAACGTGGAGACTCTAGGGCGATCATATACCATAATCTTGGCAGTATAAGATGTTTTCTACCTTCGTTATGAAGACAAAAGATCTGCGCCTTTAGATCAGCGACTTGAAGCAATATTTGCTTACGTCTGTTACTGTATCTCAAAACAGCACCACGCGTACCCACACCTTGGAAATCCCAAATGATATTCAACTTTTATTTTTATACTTTTATCCGCGAAGCGGATTATGAAACAGCATAAACTGACCCAAACCAGGTTATACTCGAATAATTTGGCCAAGAATTAGAGTCATTCCTTATAATTTAATTTTAAAATCATTAAATAACTATGGGTGTAAAATTTCGTTGCTTTTTATTAGTTCAAATTTGCCGCTCAATAATACAACCGTAGTAACAGAAGTAACGGAAGTGATGGGAAGCGAGGGGAGGTAAAAACTGATACATAGGCTTGTCAGTTTCACAAAAGAAGTTTTCTGAATCCTATCATAATCCCTGGTGATTGTTTAGCTATATCACAATAATTTAAATAGATATGCCACCAAGTATATAAAGTGTTGCCTATAATTCTATTTTTAAGGCATATTAAGAAATGCATGCATTAGAATATTTGTGATAGACATAAAGTGGCACTTTAAGTTTATAATTAGCCTTATGGGTTTTAGAGATGATTTAATTAGTTTTTAAATCTGTATTTTTCTCTTAATGAATGTCTAAATTTGGCCTGAAAAAATAAGAATAGAATGAAGTTATGAAACATATTGTCTATATTTTTTATGATGGTATACATATACATTGGGGCAGACTCGCTAAAGCTACGAGATATTAAGGTAAATGTAACCTATAAACCCATACTTTAACAGTTACATAGTTTATTGGGGTTTTTCATACAATTTTCTGTTATTTTTATGCTGGACTATCTACAGTTTTCCCCTCTTACACGATCATTACAACGGATATTTGTCAGGTGCATGTGACCAGTCGGCCAACACTTCCATGGTTCCTATCCGAACCTCTGATGTATTCAGAGTTCTGTGATTTCTGTGCTTGAAATGATTTAATCAGACTTTTGAGCATGAATTCTATCCATAATTCTCATATTTTATTATTTAAAAAATTAAAGGACTTCAAATTTTAGCAATATTTTTTTTTATTTCAAACATTAATCTATTTTCTGTCGTGCACTAAATGCTTTATCAATATGTTTGATAAAATGCGAAGATAACAAACAGTACGTTTAAACAAAACAAATAATGAGCAAAGCCAACATTGACCTCTTAAAAGAGTAGTGGGATCAGGTGCCATGGAGGAGTAAGCATCCCCTGTGGACCAGTCACATATAATATTCAAATATATATTTTTTAGATCGAGTTTAACATTTCTCTATACAAAAAAAAAATGGAATAAGAGGAAATAAATACTTTATGAATTCCTACATTCTAATTTACGTGTAAATTTCATATAAAACTAGAGGGCTACTTGCCCAAGGTTTTTTTTTTTTTTTTTTTTTTTTTTTTTTTTTTTTTTTTTAAATGTCTTGCAAACACGTTCATTAATTCACATATCAAACTAAACACAATTCGAAGGATATTTTTAGATCGATATAAGAAATTATAGATTTGTCAAGTGCACCCTGTTTTCAGCATTATCTGATATTAGTAAAGATATTAAGAATCTATTAAAAATTGTTATATTTACATAATTGAAATGAACATGATTTTGTTTCAGGTTGCCAACACATGGGAAGATCGTATCAACCAGGAAATGTCTTTTCAAAGGGAGATAGTTGTAACGAGTGTACATGTTTAGAAACCGGGGACATAACGTGCACCGATAACAAATGCTTTACAGGTACTTAACGAATGATAGATAAAAATGAATAGATGGATTAGATAAATGGATAGATGAATAATAACATTAATGAATGTGTGGATACATGGATATGATGATACATGGATAGATAGATGGATGGAAAAATTCATAGTTTAATAGGTAGATAAATGGATTGATAGGTTGATGGATTGATACATGTAGGTAGATAGATGGATGGATATATAGATGGAAAAGTAGATGGATGGATTGATTAATGGGTGGATTGAAATATGTATGAAGAGGGAGAAAGACAGAGGTTGATGAGTGAAAAGGATATTTTACGGGATGCCGATGATTGTGGTGACGTTCTTTCGGGAAAATACAAAATATCTTTAAAGATCTTTAAAGATTTAATCTTTATCTTTTTTTTCTTATTTCTCAACCAACCAAATTAAGCCTTTGGGGTGATAAACAATTTGTAGCACGTGTATTTGAGGTGCCATCTGTTTAAATCATGTGTCTGTAAATGAATACTCAGACCTGCCTACCCTTTTTATTGCAAGGGTGTAATATGAATAAAAACATCACTTCTCATCTATTTTTATCTGTAATGATTACTTATTATAACCGTGAATAATGTATGCATCGGATATACACAATATATAAATATTATTTTGTCGATAATAGAACACAAAAATTAATTGATTTTTGTAATAATAAACATGCAAAGCATATCCATTCCAAACAAATTTTCAATAAATTAATGTTTCAAGACAAGAGAAGAAGACAAATAGCTCACTCTTCTTTGATAATGTATGCAATTTGAATTAAATGATAGGGATCGTAAGCATTTTTAAAAAGTATACTGAGAAATATGTAAATTATTTCCGTGTCCTTTTATCGAAATGTTAAAAAAATTTCTTTTCTTAATAATTTTATATTCAATTCAGTATTTCCGGAGATCATGTCCCAGGATACACTTGTACATGTTTGATATAAATTTTCTTTTTATTTTCTGTTCTATCTCTATATACTATTTAGTATGTATTAGTTTTCACGTATGCCACAGGCTGTCATTTTTTAATGTATGCAGATTATTTGAGACAAGTAAGATTTTTAATCAGATAGGAAATATGTCTTGTTCTAAAATAAGGCTAAGTGACTGGGAATAGTTCTTTTTTGAAATGAATGAAATTAATCGTCGAGAAAATTAATTTGTATAGTGCACAGAAAAAAAACCTACACCATTCAGTCAACTGAATGGTCACTGAAAGGTCTGCTGGAAAGGTGACTGAATGACAGAGCTCTCCCGTTCAGCCACCTTTCAATAGATATTCATCACCTTTCAGTAGACATTCAGCCACCTTTCAGTAGACATTTAGTCACCTTTCAATAGACATTTAGTCACCTTTCAATAGACATTTAGTCACCTTTCAGTAGACATTCAGCCACCTTTCAATAGACATTAAGTCACCTTTCAGTAGACATTTAGTCACCTTTCAGTAGACATTCACCCACCTTTCAATAGACATTAAGTCACCTTTCAGTAGACATTTAGTCACCTTTCAGTAGACATTTAGTTACCTTTCAGTAGACATTTAATCACCTTTCAGTAGACATTCAGACACATTTCAGTAGACATCCAGTCACCTTTCAGTAGACGTCCAGTCACCTTTCAGTTAACTGAGTGGCAGATGTTCATCCAGTGATAACTGGAACCTTAGTTACCACGGTGTACTTTACGGTATAAAAAAATACTTGTTACTGAGTTTAGCTTTACAACACCCTACAAATACATATATATATAGTGTTGTTAACATTATTTTACTTTAAAAAAGAGTATCTTATTGTTTCAGACTGTGTTACGCCACAAGGCCAGAGATTAAAAACTGGGCAGTCCTTCCCAAAGGGGGATGGTTGCAATAGGTGCACCTGCACTGACACAGGAGATATCATGTGCTCGGAACACAGCTGTTTACCTTGTGAGTTCTAACCACAATGTTTTTTCCACTGAAGTCATCAAAACTAAATATGAATTATTGTATTTTCCATCATTTCTCAAGGAGACATAATATATTAACCAACAATTTCATATTAAGTATTAACACTATTGTTTTGAATTTTTTCTCTTACTTGAGTATGTTACCTGCACTGAGATAGCTTAGTGCAATTAAAATATATATTGAATAAATCTGGGTGTTAATTTGACATCCAGATTCAGACTTCAAGATGAGAGAGAGAGATTCTGTTAGCTATATAGTAAAGGTGAATATATGTAGTGTTCTGCAAGACCATCTGTATTGTGTTACCACTTTTACATTTGTGAATAAATTATTGTTTAAATTCAAATTGTGTTACCATGTAGAATGTTATAATAGGTCATTAAATACATTCCGTTTTAATTTTGACAAATGTTTGATACAATTTATGGGTAGATATGATGATAAAATCTTTTTTGATGAATAAAAAATAAGTTTATTTTTTTTTACCGAATATTTGATTCCTGAATTTATTGCAGATTGTCAACACAATGGTAAACATTACCCTGCTGGCAAGACCTTCCGCAAGGGGGATGGGTGCAATGAATGTACCTGTCTCAATGATGGAACATTTACCTGTACAAACACACCTTGCTATCCAGGTAATATCACCAAATATTTAGGGGGAGAAATTGTTTTGTTCGTCTATCTGTTTGTTTGTCGGTTTTAGTAAGAACTGTATATGTTTCCATCTGGTGAAAAGTAAAGTTTTTTATGTACCCTTATCAAGTGATCATTATACACGTATATTTCAAATAAGTATCCGAAAGTTTACAAAATGAATAATAATATAGGTTCCTTTAGATGAGCAGAAACACGGACGGAAGGAAGCTGCTGAGTTAATTTTCTTTTGGCACTGTAATAAATCTAGTTTTTATATGCAACTTATGTTTCAAAGAATGTGTCTATGTAATTTCTGTACGTCCAGAAGTTTTTCTTTTTTCCATTGAGTTTTTAAAAAAGGTTTCATCCAGTTTAAATGCACATCTAATCTTTTTAGACATTGAAATCGAGAAGAATGGTCTATCTGACATGGACAAAATGAAAAACATCAATCACTGCCAAAAAATAGCTTTAGAGCAAAATATCAGTAATATTCAGCAGTAAAACATGGTTATTCAACATCAGAATGGGGAAGTTTTCATTACAAATATCACTTTGCTAAAATTTTTCATGACACAATACTTAAAAAGGAATGCTTCGATTACATGAACAGGCATTTTCTTATCTCTATTCCTCACTTTATTGAAATTTTCAATAACCCTTTACCTTCATAAAATTTCAGATTGTCGCTACAAGAACGAGTTTTTTGTCAAAGGTGCTGTTTTTCCAAAAGTAGACGGGTGCAATACATGCAGATGCCTCGCAGATGGAACTGTTCAATGTTCTGAGAAACAGTGCCATAGCAGTAAGTTTTTACATTTGTTGATTGTGTTATAACGTCCTAGCAAGATTATTTCACTTTTATGAACTTCACCAGATACCGTCAATATGCTTCACATTTCGACTCAAGGCCATTTAGTATTCAAGGATTTTTCGTGCCAATGTCTGCTGTGACACTAAGCTTCGTTTTCAAGGTCTCATCCGAAAACACGAAATGTTCACTTCATGGTACCTGTTTGAAGTGTTTGGCGAAGGAAGAGTAAAAGTTGCTACCTTTGTTTTTGTCAATCGGGGCTTGAACCAAAGACCTTCCTATATGTATCAGAGAGCGAGCTTTCTACAGGCTGATCAATCTGGATCAATCAAACTTTAGGATACATTTAAACTGCTAAGATTCTGAGGAACAGTGCTATATTATGTTTATTAGAATAGTGTGCACGTAAATTGCAAAGTGCTCTGAGAAACAGTGTATAAATTACGTGTCTCGTGTATAAATATCAGCATACATGAATAAGAGATGCGGAACGTGACTTATGTCCCTTTGTCAGCATATATATAACGTATGCCAAACAGTCTGAATATCATGGTGTATATTTTGGTATAAGATTCATATTCTACATACCCTAAACATATGTTATACATATATTCCTAATACCGATTTGTCATGCAATGTTCACTGTGCATCCAATTGGCAAAATTAACTGAAAAATGTTGGAAAAGCAGTTAACATGAAAATTAATTTGTAAAACATCTTGAAAAACAGAAAGGGAGCACACAATTTTAGAAAAAATTGAGGGGTTCCTTGAACACCTTCCTTAGAAGTATGAAACATTTTCTTTCACTATAAAAGTATGAACAATCAATTTTAACTGTTTTGTTACTCGTTTCTTCTTTAGAATTTAAGACCTATAGGGGATGAATGTTAAATCTACACGTCCAAAGTACATTTCTAATGCTACACTTTTTTTGGAAAAAAAAGTTTTTGAATGAATTTAGAAGAGGGTCATAACTTGCTCAAACTATATTTTTCCCTATTTTTCTAGCCTGTAGCTATCGAGGTGCCATTTACAAAGCAGGACAAAGTTTCAAGCCTGATTCCTGTAATACATGTTGGTGCATGGTAGATGGATCTGTCAATTGTACAGAAATGCAATGTTATCCAGGTATTATATAAATGTTACTTCAGAATAACAACAGTATTGCATCAGTAAAATCCATTACGACATTATTACGCAATAAACCATACGACATCAGTTACTGTAATTAACCTTTTAAATTATTTTCTGGGATTCTTTTTTAAACTAAATGGATGAATTGAGGTATAGGTAACGATTAAAAGATATAGTTTGTAAGCCAAACCTAAAACACAGTAAAAAATATTGAAAAACACAAAAATACAGAAACGTTTGTTCCTTTTGTTTAAGCATTATAGTTTTTTATCTTTGTTCTCAACGAGAGCTCGCTATTTTCTTTCCTCTCAAGAAATGTTTTGAAAAATATAGAGAAGGAGAATTAATCATCAAAAAACATAATAAAACAGCCAGTTTCTACATATTGTTAAATCCATTCTCTTACCGATCGTTTTTACATGACGTTACAGCCTACACCAGACCGCTTATAAACAATAGGGGCAAAAGAGAAAAAAAAGAGAAAAAAAACAGAGAAAGTTCATTAACGAGAAAATTCAACGTTATATAGTTGAATATGATATTTAAATCACTCGTGAGATATTTTTGTATTAATATGAAAAAAAAACCTGCCCCAATACATATACTAAAACTCCCTTTTCAAATATTGTAAAACATGATTACAGCGAACGAGCTCCTAATGAATTTACGCTTACAACAATTAATTTTCACTCCTGTAATTCTAAATGTACATGCATTATAAACTTAACAGATATTATTCAAATATAGTCTCTTGATGAGGTCAATTCCTTAAAAAACACACTTTGGTCCCTTAGAAAAATAGACCCTAGAGAACGCGTCTTTATCAAACATGAAGTTGGAAGTCGATATGCTTTTTTCTAAGATCTATATATCATAGGATTGTATCGAATCCAAGGGCTATAACTTTTTAATTTTGTAATAATTATTATTATCTTTTTTTTATTATTTTTTTTTTATTTTTTTGCTTTGCATAATAAAAAAAAACCTTAAAAGCTAAATTTTCTCTATCATAGACTAGATTTCAGAGAAGACATTGTTATGTCATATCCATTATAATATCACAATAACAAATAGAAGTTGAAGTTATATGTTTTTAGAAACATCTAGTCAACATCAAGTATTGTTATCTCATCAATAGTGTTGTTTCTCAGATTGGTGTTTGCAATTTAAAAAACAATCAAGTCTATAAGCTTTTTGGAAGCTTAAAATGAAAACATCCTGTCTGTATGTTGTATTATTTTTGATTATGTGATCTACTTTGAGGAAATCAGATACCTCGTAGCAATAGAGAAACGAATATAGTTTATATCGAGACAAAATAAGTTTTCCCTGGCACTTCACTATAAGGGTATTTACTGTGAAAACTACTGAATATATTCTATATATTCTTCTCTTTCATAGACTGTATGTACAGAGGGAAGAAGTACACTTCCGGTCAACATTTTAACAAGGGCGACAACTGTAATACATGTGTCTGTGCCAACACAGGCGATGTGAGGTGTACGGAATTGAACTGTGCTCAAGGTAAAACACTTGTAATTGAATTACTGTGATATCATTTTTATTTAGGGTTTTGGGTTGGGGTGGAGTTCAAAGTTCGTGAGAGAGAAAATTGTTGTTGGTCGTTGGGACTTACATGTAATTTCTAGGGTAACTCGTTTATACAGTAGATTCCATGAATCAAAACATTGACAAAAAATTTATCATGGGGATGTAAATTCGTGGGAAGGATTACAGACAAAATCAAAGAACATTGGTCTCCCAAGAACAGATGATTCCACAGTATACTGAAAATGCACTAAAGGAAATATTAATGATAAATTATATACATATATATTTACAACAAATTCATAGAAAATCATCCAGTATTTGTGTTGGATGTTGCAAATTGTCAATTTATTTTAACTCAATTTGGTGAAATCAACCCAGGATATAAATCTCAAAAGAACATTTTATATGAAGCTCCTATTAAGAAAATTATCTATAAATTCTATTAAATATGATTGAAGTGATTAGAATTTGAATGCTTATGAATAAACAGAAATTTTCTGGAGAAATGGTATTGAAGTGCCAGAGAAAATGAAACGTGTTGTGATATATATGATGTTATTGAAAGCTTAAAATATACCTATCTTAATTTAAAAAAAAAAAAAAAAAAACAACCATCAGAGCCCGAGATCATGAAACATTTCAGCTTAAAATAAAATATGCACGTTATACTGAAATGATTTTATATTACTTTAAAGTAATGTGTTTTTGAATTGTTTGTCCTTTTTGCAGCTCCGGTACCTACCTACAATGTTTAATGAAGACTGATCTTCAAAACCATTATTATATAACGATAACATCTTGAAGGACTTCACCTATACACCTCACCTATGTTGTAAGGATTTGGTCTGAAAATATCTAATATTTTTTTTTACTTTATATATATCATACAAAGAGCTGTTGAATAACTAACTTTAATATCCTTCAGAATAATACTGTCTCTCTGATTGGTAAAGAGCATGTCACATGACAACCCGTGATGTCTACCCTCAGGCCAACATAAAAATGATGTCTGTTAAAATACTTTTTAAGTATTGAGTCAGAGCAGTGGGTAAAAAAAGAAGGTTGACTGTTATTTTCTTCTTTTTCTTAAATTTACATTCTTCAAGATAAAAAAAACTATTTTGGACAGTTTATAAGGGAAACATCACAAATTATCAGTCCATAATTGTATATTGTTTGACAACATTTTTTTTACACTTAGATGCATTTTTTATCATGTCAAATTCTATGAAATTATGTCCTAAATTACCTTAAACTTTGTAACGTACAATGTATATTATGTATGTTTTGTATGTAATTAATGTTAAATGTTTGAATATCTATGAAATTCTAAAATTATTTAATATATTCTATATCAGAAAGGCATGGGGTTGCATACGACTTTCAGTTTGAAGGGGAAATAATCATATGCGTTGTCCTACTTCTTGTATGTTACTATATTTGTATCAAATTTGAATTTATGAAAATTAAATTACCAGACAATATCTACTTCTTCTACTTCAAATTCATATTTGTCTCCATCATATTTTAATGAAATAAAAAAAATAATGTAATTATATCATGAAAGAATCTTTTAAAATGCACAAAGGTTTGATCTTTTTTGATTGTTTATCTTTTTAATGTATTAGTGTTCATGCACTATTGTCTAGATCATTTGTCGTTGTCATTAAATTTGAAGAGTACGCTCCTTCATATGAAAGAGAGATTCTTATTAAAATTGTACTGTATATTATAAAGATATATCATTTTGTACGAATGTTCAATATAGAATGATTAAAATAAATAAATTTGATTTTTCGATTAAGCGAAGATTTTGGAAACTTATAACGGGGTGTGATAATACAATAAAATCAGATCACGTAGCATGCTTACAAAAACTACAATATTGATTTTCATGTAACAGTTTTTGTACTCTCTCTCTATCTCTATCTCTTAAGTTTTTTTTTTTTTTTTTTTTTTTTTTTTTTTTTTTTTTTTTCATTTGAATTTTTGCTGACACAATTAATTTTTGGAGAAAAAAAATTTATGAATGTGTGTATGGTATCGTCGAAAACCACTGTTTTTTTGTTTTGTTTTGTTTTGTTTTGTTTGTTTGTTTGTTTGTTTTTTTGTTTCTTTTTTTTTTTCTTTTTTTTTTTTTTGGTCCATTTTATTTTTGGACAACTAGTGGCTTGCCGCAGTGTTATGAATAGATATAAATCATTTTTTCCTTAATCATTTTTAGTTAACATATATATTTGTAGCAATTCTTATTTATTTTACTCTGTATTTTTCTTGCATGAGATTCAATACTTTTTTTCTTCTCTTTTTAACTGTACACATTGACATTTCAAAATTATTTAATTATGTCATGCAAATTACTTCTGCCTTTGACATATTAAGACATATTCTATAATAAATCACATTAAAACTGTCAAAGAGAAGGAAATTAAACTGAATCTTATTCACTGAAACAGATGCACCAGCCCTGTATAAAGCATAGAGAATCAACACAATATATAAATTATTAAAATGAATAACAAGAAAGGAACAATAAATTTGAGAATATCATGTCTAAATACATTGACTTAAAGTTTTCAATGGACCATGCATGCCCTTATGAACCGGGGGCACGCGGGAGGGGGCAATAATTTTGCCGATATTTAGTTTACTATAAAAACATAACTACTACATGTATATGCTTGTGCCCCCTCAATAAAAACGTCTGATGACCTTCTTTTGTTTGTCAATGAATTTTTGTTAGTTGAGAGTGCCCCTAGCTGAAAATGTATGGCTCTTCAAGTGTAAAAGCAAACAATTTTAGTACAGCTTACTTGTCAAAATTGGCCAGAAAAGCCATTTCATCTTGAGAATTTTATAAAGGAATAATGTTATTTTTTCCCAATAAAGAGTTATCTCTCTTATAAGATTATCCATAGACCTTAATATGTTTGTTGTTCTTAGTGATGATGAACATGAACTCAAAGATTGGTGTGTATTGATTATAAATATGAGAATAAAATTCCCTTTAAAAAAATAAATTTATTAGGCAAATTTGATCATATGAGGAAATAACAGGAAAAAGAAAATGACTGCATGGGGAAAAAAACTGAAAGAAAACACAATAAATAACATCACGTGAAGAAATGCTATTATTGTTATTTGCTATAATTGCCTCCTCAAAGATGAAAATAATCTTAAATGGTTTAGATGAGCATTGCTCATTAATAAGTCGAAAGAATTCCAGAATCCCTGTATGATATTCTCAAGGCATGTCTTAAATGAACCGTTCGAAGTATTTTTGTAAAGGAGGACAAAGGTCATGGTCCTGTGAACTGTCATGCTAGAATTTTAATGCTAAATAGCACAGACGTACTTCTTAAATGTCAACAATAAGCTATATATCGACACCTTTTAAATACATGTACCATGCACAATCAAAATAAACATAATTATAATTTATTCTGTGCAAGGAAAACTACACAGTGCACGTACATATGACATATAAAAAACATGTAATGATATTCTTCACTTTACAAGAGTTATTACGGAACGTAGGGCACATAGAGACACAAACATGCCACCGCACAAATGCTACTTAAACACTTTCGAGCAATAATGGATAAATAACTGGCGCAGACTTATACGAAATATCAAATATATACACCGTAAATATCAAATTACGAAAAGATAAATGGTGCATTGTTTTTTATATTCCATAACTGAAGTTTTAAGATATTTACAGCTTTGTAAAATATTTTGTAAAAAGCGAAAGCAAGGCTTGCCTCATTGTTCACTGGTCCTCCCCCCCCCCCCCCCAAAAAAAAAAACCGTCTTTTCATGACATTAATAATACAAAACCTTACTTTTTATAAGACCTCCCATTGATATAGGACAAAAGAGGCTGTTCTTCCAGTTGAGAGAACAGAAAATTATTGTACCTTACCCTTATTATAACCCCCGCAAACAAAGTCTGGGGATATATAGGAATCACCTTGTCCGTCTACCTTTGTTATTGTTGAAGGCCATGTATCTTTTAAAAGGAAACGTTGGAAGCTCATTTTTGACATACCGTATAAACTTGTGACTTAATAGTGTCATGACCTTGAAGCAAGGTTATTTGGACAAATTCAATGTCACTAGCAGGGAAACAGTAAAAATCGCTTCCTGTCCATTACATTATACTGGTGAAACATTGGAAATTAATGTTTTATATAAGGATCACTTTAGATTAAGAATGTATCAAAATCTTGACCCAAGGTCACTTTCTCAAGTTCAAGTTCAATAAGTACTTTCCTAACCATATTTCGTATTTAGGAAACATGAGAAGTGAAATATGGAGATAAGAAACAGTATATATTCAAGCCCAAAAGTCCATTCAAATCAGGAGCAGAGCAAATACGGACTTCTTAAACATCAGAGGTGGGATTAGGTGCCACAAAGGAGTGAGCATATTTGTTAACAAATGTTTCATGTAAAATTTACTCTATATTTGGCCCTTGACTCACTGGCATTTGGGCAAGTTCCACGTTTTTTCACATCACGTGGCTCCGAAGGAAGATCTACATGTACTCGGTGCTTTGCAATAAGCTTTACCTTAGTTTAAGTGTTAATGATCCTTATGCAAGGTAATCTTAGAAAGAGCTGACAGATATATGTTTATAATTGATTTACTGTATTACAGTTCATTTCGCCTTACCTTTCTTGGTGCCGTAGAAAAAAAAACTGGGGTGTTAATTGAAACATTATGCGAGCATTCTAATTATTTCTTATTATCCGACAACCATTGCTTAAATATATATATATATATATATATATATATATATATATATATATATATATATATATATATATATATATATATATATATATATATGAAAACTTAAGCCTAGGGAAAGAAATAAATAAGTTCTTATTGTTATTTTTGTTACCGATGCATATTATACACTGAGCATAATACATAGCAATTTCCAGTACAGCATCCTATGCAGTGTACCAAAACTTTATTTGTAGCAAATTGCCTGCATTTCGAATACACATAGTGAACAATTTCAGTTTGGGGGGCAGAGTTTAGCTTTAAAATTTAATTCATTTTTGAAGGGTCAGAACTGCATGTTAGTTAGCTTTTTAGTTTTCTTTTCTGTTGTAAAGTATGTACTTGCAAAATCAATTGGGGGATGCTGGGGGTGGAACGATAAACTTTCGGTTCTTAGGGGTTGGCGTTATACTCAGTCTCTATTAATGTCATACTCTTTTCTACGTGCATTCTATGTTTGTAGACAAATGAAGGTATGTCAGGGCTCAATTACAGCCTTCAAAATACCTTTCATTACTGTGAATCTTAACCCAGGATTTCTTAAAATACCAAAACGCTTTGCCCTGAAATTAATTTGCGTCATAATATATTGTTTTGTATACTACGTACGTGTCTATATCAAAATAATGAGATTTATATATTAGCGCACGTGATTTTAATATAATATTTAGAAATAATCTAAAAACATCTGGTATTTTGAGGATCGACGGTTACATAATCAAAAGGTAAGCTCAAGAATTTCTGACATCTTTAAATTCTTAATATCTGAAAAAAGAATGTAAGAATGGGACATAAGTAATCTAGTTCCTGTCCCAAAATCTTGTGAGTACAATGTCATGTACCGCTAAGTGGGTTCTAATAGTCAATGAGTATATTAAAAAAAACATTGATGACAGGACAAATGGATTATTAGTTACAAGTTGTTCTGCAAGAAGACGGCTATCAGTCCGGCGTTCCTTTCGTCCTTTTTATCAGCCGCTTAGTCGAAAAACTGCCAAGAAATTTTGAACCACAAGTAAGTCCCTCAATAGCTTTCAGTTCTTTCTTTGAATATCCTCTAAATTGATTTTGAGAGACTTCAGCCACGCCTGCATTATATCTTTATGCTGCCCTGTTTCGTTTTTACGCTATATATCACTGTTATTCATATATGTACATTAATACACACTTTTCGCAAGAAAAAGCCTGGAAAGTGAAAAGGCTAACAACATTACGTACTTTCACTGAAGAATCTTTATCCAAATTATTTTCTAGTCTTCAATTCAAAAGATTGGGGAAAATTGATTAATGTAAATAATCTTCATATGCATTTTGGTAGAAGTAAATAAACTTTAACATGTTATTAAATAAAATTAAGTATCTAAAGATTATCTGAGTACAATAAACAAGTGGGTCACATCGTTCATCTGAGCACTTTGGTTAGAGAAAAGCAGATATCAGTTCAGTATTGAAGAGTTAAAATA